GCTGGGATTACAGGCACGCACCACCATGCCCAGCTGATTTTTTGTATTTTTAGTAGAGACAGGGTTTCACCATGTTGACCAGGATGGTCTCGATCTCTTGACCTCATGATCCACCCGCCTCGGCCTCCCAAAGTGCTGGGATTACAGGCTTGAGCCACCGCGCCCGGCAATGATATATTTTTAATGTCACCATTATTTGGAAGGTCACTGCTTTAGGGTGGTTTCTGCAACTGAGGTTGGCACAAAGGAGGCTAGGATGCAGGTGAGACGTGGACCAGCTGCTTAGAAGAGTTGCAAGTGGTTCTCTCCAGGGCCTGGAGGCTGGTTTTTAACAGGGAGCTTAGTCCCTGACAACCTGACCACTCCCAGAAAACCATTCCCCTAGACTGCCCCCCAAGTCAGGATAGGGCTGACAAGAGACCACTGAGCGGCATCACCTGTAACGTGGGGGATCCTGGATGCCCGCAGGGCTTGGAGTCCTGGGCAAACCCCTGCCAAGTCCCATGAGAGTGAGAACTTGGTGCTGCTTCTTAAGCGACAAGAAACATCTAAGAAGTACTGGGGAGATAAGACTCCCAAAAACAGGCACACCAGGCCCACAGCCTGGGGTCTTTGTGACAAGCTGCATCCCATGCCTGGGCAGGGGCACCTGCCCCTACACACATGAGTACAGAGACTCCACCTGAAACAGGGCCCCATGTGTTGTCAGTGGATTTGGTGGTCTTGTTGGGTACATCCCTATCCATTTCCTGCCCCAACCCTGCAATTGGCCCCAGTCCCAACGAGTCAACCTGCACCCACCTGGCAAACATGCGCAGGTCCTCAGGGTTCTGGGCTGCTGGTACACTGAGGATGGCTGCACGCTCATGTTCCGACAGGCTGGCCAGCAGGTTCTCTGTCATCCTCTGGTTCAGTGGCGAGTCCCCACTGGGAAGCAGCTCTGCACTGGAGTTGTCCATGCTGGGGCTGGTGAGGGTCATGTCATCGCTGCTGGCTGTGGGGGGCAGGGGTCAGGTGACAGCAACACCAAGTGGAATTCCAGGACACCCAGGGGAACCGCAAGGGCAGACCCAACAGCCAGCCTCCAGTGACACCCGTGAGGCCCACACGGCCCCTGCCTGGTGCCCCAGCTGCAACAGCGACCTATAAGCACATGCTGCCGTCCCACCTCTGGGTGTGCTTGGATGTAACACATGCCCCTCACGGCTGACCTGGGAAATGGGTATCTCCCCTCTGGGGGCAACTTCAAGTGACCAAAACAGGTGTAATGTATGCCCCACACATACCCCAAGGTGGGCCTGGTCATCTTGTCCCTCACCCAGGATGGAGGACAAAGCACCCCAGGCAGGCAGGCTCCTCACATGAAGCATGAAACCTACAGCCAGACCTCACCCAGGGGAGGACTTTCAAAGTCTTCCACCCACTTCCTTCCCCAAGCCTGAGGACCTGGGACCTGGGAACAGGCTGCTGCTCTCAAGCCACGCTGGCCATGACTGCTCTTCTGGTGACCCAGAGGTGTCAGCTGTCCCAGTCGTGGTGTAGATCCCACGCAGATCCCTGGCTGGGGCACAGATTCCAGCATTGATTTGGTGGGCTGGGAGCTGCTCCTGACTCTAGCAAAACTGCTAAAGAGCCCAGAGGCAGAGCTGCCACCTCAGAGTCATGGTGATGCCAGGAGACAGGAGAGGCGTCTCCCAGGGGACACGAGGGGTGTGCATGTGCGTGTGCTGCCGTGTGGAGGCACTTCATCACCCATAGCAGTGCCCATGTGGCGCCTCCTGGGCACCACTCCCAAGCATCTCCCCTGACTACCAGATTGATGCTCTGGGGACCCTACTTGGGGAGCCAAAGCTGAGGGCGTTGGGCGTGCTGAGGCTGCGACCGCCAACCCGGGCAGTGAAGGGGACATCGTCTTCTCGCAGGCGGGGCTCCTCCTCGCTGGGTGAAGCCATCAGGCAGACATAGGTGTGCAGCTGGATGAGGAGCCGGCGCTGCAGCATCCACACCACCATCTGGATGAGCTGGGTCTGTGGGTGGCAGCAGGTGAGGCTGGTCCCCATCCCCACTCCAACCCCTTCCTGGGGGATCAGGGAGCCACAGCCCTAGACATGGCCACAGCATACTCCCTGTGCTGACTCCCAGGCACAAAGGCCCTCTCCTCAGAAAGGGAGCCCCCAGCTGCCAGCCAGCTCTGCAAGGCCAGCTCACCCTCCCGGGAAGGGAGAGGGTCTGGGGGAACAACTGGATCATACCTGGGCTGCCCAGTGTCTGGCTGAGGAGCAGGACCTGAGATGTGGAGGTCCCTCTCTGACCCCTTCTCTAAGCAAACCCCCCACACTGTGCTGCTGCAGCTGCCCTTCTGCCTTCTTCTCTCTCCTTCAGCCCACTGGCCCTGCAGTTGGACCCAGCCAGCCAGTCTACCTCCAGACAAGCCCAGACACTGTTTAGAAAGAGGCTGTGAGCAGGTGGCCTGAGAGCAAAAAGTCCTCTCCTTGGATACCTGAAAGTCTACCCTGAGCACAAGAGTGAAGCCACAAGAAAGCTGAGGCCAGTGACCCTGTGCTTGGGGGTGGAGCCCCCCCCACCCCCCTGCCCCAACCATGAGAAGGCATGTCCCGGCCAGGCCCTCCAGTGTTTCTGCATTAGCAGGTAGGGCTGACAGTGAGGAGCCTCGTGCGGGGTACAGTCCAGTCCCTGTGAGAAAGCACTGCCCAGACACAAATGCTGAGCAGCGAGCAGTGTGAGACAGCATCAGTGTCATCAGATACACGTCTGTCTACTCATCTCTGGGAGGGTCCACTAGGAGCTGCTGGCCAGAGTCACCTCCTGGGAGGGGGCTGGGGAACTGGGGATGGGAATGGGGGATATACCCCAGGCAACTAAGAAGACCTGGTCAAAAGGACTGCAAGATACCCAGATTTTACGTGAATTTAATAAATAAAAGAGGGGGCCGGCACAGCAGCTCATGCCTATAATCCCAGCACTTTGTGAGGCTGAGGCAGGTAGATTATCTGAGGTCAGAAGTTCAAGACCAGCCTTGCCAATATGGTGAAGCCCCATCTCTACTAAAAATACAAAAATTAGCCAGGCATGGTGGCAGGCGCCTGTAATCTCAACTACTCAGGAGGCTAAGGCAGCAGAATCATTTGAACCCGGGAGGCAGACGTTGCAGTAAGCCAAGATCATGCCACTGCAATTCAGCCTAGACAAGAGAGCAAGTTTCTATATCAAAACAATAAAACATAATAATAAAGCTGAGCACAGTAGCTCGCGCCTATAATCCCAGCACTTTGAGAGGATGAGGCAGATGGATCACCTGAGGTCAGGAGTTCGAGACCAGCCTGGCCAACACAGTGAAACACCATCTATATAAAAAAATTAGCCCGGCATGGTGGTGGGCACCTGTCATCTCAACTACTTGAGGGGCTGAGGCAAGAGATCACTTGAACTTGGGAGGCGGAGGTTGCAGTGAGCAAAGATTGTGCCACTGCACTCCACCCTGGAGCACAATCAAAAACGAAATAAAAAATAAATAAATACATTTTAAAAAAATGAAGCCGAGGGGCTTCCCAGCACTGGAGCCCAGGCAGAACCTGGGCCCCTTGACAAGGCCTGGAGCAACCACTCAGTCATGGCCTGGAAAAGCCACCCCAAGGGAGCTTCTGGGATGGGCGCACCAGCAGGTCCTCCCTCAGCTCTGCCCAGGAGGAGGGGTGCACGGAGTGCTTTTTATTCAGCAGGTACAACCTGGCTCAGCTCCCAGAAACCAAGGGCTCCATGAATACCACACTGAGAACTCTCTTAGGTTTGGCGTCTAAAGGAGCTGAAAAACCAGAATCTTATTCACAATTTGAGAACGGAAAGGGTTTGACTTTACGGACTGGTTTTACCTAATAAATCTGGCACTTATTCAGTCAAATACTATTGAAAACAAAGACGTGAGAACACCCAGCTCGTCTGTCTCTGACACCTGTCCTATCTGGCCCTGCCTTGGGTCTCTGCCCAGAACTCGGTGAAAGGAAGGGTGGCAAAGCCTCGTTGGCTCCTGTCAAAGCCACCTCAGCACGAAGGCTGTGACACCTGCAGCCCACATGGGAAGCCACTGGCCCTGCTACAGATGCAGATGCACCAGTTCATCCCACAGACCTGCAAGAGGCTTCCTATCCCCTGCACTCCTAGCTTCCAACCTGCGTGCCTGTTGCCCAGACCCAGACCCACGAGGGTCCTCTCTAGGCTCTCTTGGATGAGGAGATTCTGGGGACTAGTGGCCCCAGAACTCATACCCACAGACCTGTGGCCACCTGCACTATGGCAGGGAGTGAAGGCAGAAGCTAAACTCTCTCAGAGGGTCAGGCCCTGGCCCAGTGAAAACAGCTACTTTTGCACCCTCGTCTGTAGGAAGCCCCCAGACCCAAAGGGGTACAATGCAGGTCTGTAGGCCCAAAGAGGTAAGCACTGTCCTGCCAAGCTTAACTCAGTTCTAACCCTAAAAACTGCCTGCCACAGCAAGAGTGGGCTCTACGGGGAGGGGATGACTGCCCAAGTGTTGGGTCACTGGCCAAGTGTCTACAGATGGCCCGGCAGCTGCCTTTTGGGCCATGCTGGGCACATAGCACTTGCACGGCAAGCCCCTAAAACCAAGGGGAAGCAGGTGCCAGTGCTGAGGGCTCTCAGATCAGAACCAACAGCCAGGCAGGTAGTGCCTGATCCACTACGCATCTACCACTCTGGGCTCACTGAGCTTCTGTGACTCACCTCCTGCACAGCGGGGGCCAGGGGATTCCTAAATTCTGACAAGGAGACCGGCAAGGAGAACTTGGCAAGGACGGACGGCAGGTCATGAGATGGGAACTGGTGGGAGAACTGCTCGGCCAGCGGGGAGTACCTGGAGGCAGGAGAGCATGCCAGTGAGTGCAGCAGACCCCCCACTGTGTTCTCAACACTGGCCTCTGTGGGCAGCAGGCAAGCACAGCATGGCAGGTGGGCCAGGACGGGACAATGAGGGAAGAACGGTGTGACTGACACAGCAGAGCCAGGCAGGCCTCCAGGCAGGCAAAGCCTGGGCACTTCCCCTTGAGCAGCAGCAGCAGCCAAGGGCACAGTTCACCCTGCATGTCACCTCTGATCCCTCAGGGTGGATTACGAGAGCCAGCCCGGAGGAGGTGGCCCAGCACAGCGGACAAGGGAGAGCCATGCAGCACAGAGCCGGGCTAGAACTGGGACCTGGGCACACTGCAGGCTGCAGTAAGGCTGAAGTTGGAGCCTGGCCTTGGGGCTTCCACAGCCTTTGGTGCCTGGTCAATGCAGAGAACACCACGTGGAGGGCCTTGCCGGCCTCACCCCTTCCCACTCAGGGCTCCAGGCTCTGGCAGCCAGCAGTACTCACAGACACACACTGGCGTTGGGAGACAGCATGTAGACGTTGTTTTCACACAGTGGGTAGATGATGATGGCCTTGCCCCAGTACACCAGATGAGCTGCAAGCTGGAAAACCTGCAGGCAGAGGGGAAGCTGCAAGGACCATGCCTGAGGCTGCCCTACTGGGAGCTGTCAGAAGCTCTCAGCCTGGGTGGCCATGGCCTGGAGTAGCTGACCCCAGGCTCGTGCAGCACACACCTGGTGGCTATGGCCCGAAACTTCCTCCCTAACGTGGAACAGCACCTTCCCTACCTCTCACCAGGAAGTGGAGCACAGCCAGCACATGGCCCTTTCTGTGAGCAATGGCCTTGTTTATTTTCTCTGAGACTGAGTCTTGCTCTGTCGCCCGGGCTGGAGTGCAATGGCGCAATCTCGGCTCACTGCAGCCTCTGCCTCCCAGATTCAAGCAATTCTCCCGCCTCAGCCTCCTGAGTTGACGGGATTACAGGCTTGTGCCACCATGCCCGCCTAATTTTTGTTTTAGTAGAGACAAGGTTTCACCATGTTGGCCAGGCTGGTCTTGAACTCCTGATCTCAAGTGATCCACCTGCCTAGGCCTCCCAAAGTGCTGGGATTGCAGGCGAGAGCTACCGTACCCGGCCACAATGGCTTTTTTTTTTTGAGACAGAGTCTTACTGTTTCACCAGGCACCAGGCTGGAGTGCAGTGGTGCAATCTCAGTTCCCTGTAACTTCCGCCTCCTGGCTTCAAATGATTCTCCTGCCTCAGCCTCCAGAGTAGCTGGGACTACAGGCGCATGCCACACACCCAATTAATTTTTGTATTTTAGTAGAGACAGGGTTTCACTATGTTGGCCAGGCTGGTCTTGATCTCTTGACCTTGTGATCCGCCTGCCTCAGCCTCCCAAAGCGCTGGGATTGCAGGCGTGAGCCCCGTGCCTGGCCTGCGGTGGCCTTTTTATCACTGCTCCCTGTGCTGTTTGGTGCCACCGTTTCCCCATCCTGTGCTGACTCGACTCCCACTGAAGAATAGTGGTCTCGGGCCACAAGCATGGGAATGTCTGGGGTGCTGGGAACATAGGGTTAGCCCAGCTGGGCAGGGGCTTAGCTGGATGTCCTGGCAGAGGAACAGCCCTCCCAAAACACTCTAAAACCCCAGTATGGCCTTGGCCCAATGATGACTGTGGAGTCACTCGGCATGCTACCCCTGCATGCCCAAAGGCCCCAGGCCTGCCCCCATGTGCCCCACCTCCCAGCTTTGCTCTTGTGGACGCTTGAACGCCAGGAGACACAGACAAACACACCCAAAACCCCTTCCAGAGGAAACCTCAGGCCTGAGGTCTGAGAGCACAGCACCACAGCCCTCATGAAACAGTACGTGAAATCCTGAGCACCCGCACTTCTGCCTCTGCATCACCCCGGGATACCACTCCCCCCTCTTGGCAGGTAGCCCTCTGTGGGGGCGAGTCACCCCTGCCTGGACACAGTGCTGCCCTGCTGCTGAGAACACATATACCTCAACTCAGAAAACAGGGCCTCCAGACAGAGCAGTGGCTCATGCCTGTAATCCAGCAGTTTGGGAGGCCAAGGCAGGATGACTGCTTGAACCTAGCAGTTCGAGACCAGCCTGGGCAATATAGTAAGACCCTCATCTCTACCAAAATTGGTTTTTGTTTTTTTGAGATAGAGTCTTGCCTCGTTGCCCAGGCTGGAGTGCAGTGGCATGATCTCAGCTCACTACAACCTCTGCCTCCAAGCTTCAAGCAACTCTCCTGCCTCAGCCACCTGAGTAGCTGGGATTACAGGAGTCTGCTGCCACTCTCAGCTAATTTTTTGTATTTTTAGTACGTAGAGATGGGGTTTCACCATGTTGGCCAGGCTGGTCTTGAACTCCTGATCTCAGGTGATCCACCCACCTCGGCTTCCCAAAGTGCTGGGATTACAAGCATGAGGCACTGCGCCCGGCCCCCAATTTTTTTTTAATTATCCAGGCGTTGCAGTACGTGCCTATAGCCCCAGCTACTTGGAGGCTGAGACAGGATTGCTTGAACCTGGAAGGTGGAGGTTGCAGTGAGCCAAGATTGTGCGAGTGGTGCCTCCAATGGCACTGCCAACCCCGACGTGGCAGGTTTCAGTTCCATCACTGCCCTATTCCTTCATCCCACGTGCCACTAACCTATGTTCTCTCATGAAGACACACCCGCTTTCCCCCAGCTCTGCCCAGCATAGTGGTCTCCATCTTCTGCCTCTCCAAGATGCTGTCGATTCTGGGATCGAAAGTCCAAAATCAATACTTCAGGGCTGGAATCAAGCTACCAGCAGGACCATGCTCCCTCTGGAAGCTCTCGAAGAGATTCATCCTGCCTCTTCAAACTGCCAGTACCTCTTGGCTTGGGGCCACATCACTCCACTCTGCCTCTGCGGTCACATCGCTGCTGCTGCTTCCTCAGATCCTCTGCCTCCCTCTTAGAAGGGCCTTAGGGATTACACTTAGGGCTCAACGGGATAATCTTCCTATCTCAAGATCTTAAACTTAGCAACATCTCCAAAGTCTCACGAGTTCGCATTCATAAGTTTTGAGGATTAGGATGTATTATTATTATTTCTTTTTTTTTTTTTTAAGACAGAGTTTCGCCGGGCGCGGTGGCTCAAGCCTGTAATCCCAGCACTTTGGGAGGCCGAGGCGGGTGGATCACGAGGTCAAGAGATCGAGACCATCCTGGTCAACATGGTGAAACCCCGTCTCTACTAACAATACAAAAAATCAGCTGGGCCTGGTGGCGCGTGCCTGTAATCCCGGCTACTCAGGAGGCTGAGGCAGGAGAATTGCCTGAACCCAGGAGGCGGAGGTTGCGGTGAGCCGAGATCGCGCCATTGCACTCCAGCCTGGGTAACATGTGTAAAACTCCGT